TTCAAGGCTTACCGGGCGTCCATACACCCCGTTCCCTCTTTTTGGAGGGTACTACCATATGTAACTTTGAGGGTTTCTATACACCGCAACGAAAACACGGGGATTTCTGGTCGGAAGCCCGTCAGCCCTGAATCCCAAAACCCTGAAACCCTAAAGCCGTCCCCACTAAACCCTCAGCCCCCGGAGCCGGAATCATAGAAGCACAGGGGTTGAACGACGGAACCAGCGAGTCTCAGGGCTCTAATGAATCCCTCCCCCAATGTGCAACATGCTGTGGACAGCTGTTGCTGTTCGAAACTGGGCTGTCCCTAAACCCTAAAACTACAAAGCGGTTTAGGGGCTTAGGGTTTAGGGTTTAGGAACTCGAAACCCTTGTCTGACTTGCAAGGCCCCGAGCCATCGACCCGGGAGTTGCTACGGGTAGATCTTTGAATTGGCGTCCGGCCACGGGTCCGCGTTGTAGGGCCCCCATCACACACAGAGGTTACTCCCAGGTTGTAACAATGATGGCGTGGAGCCTTAAGCCCTAAACCCTATAGCATCCTTATATACAGCCGTTATGGTACCCATGAAGGAACCCTAAAGGAACCCTTTGTAGTAATGATGGCATGAAGCTTGTATGTACTGCCCTCCTCGAGTGTGTTGGCTGTACACTCGAGGATGTCTGTCCTGCAGGCAGGCGAACTCTTCCGCCCAGCGTCTAAAACCCTAGAGAAATATACATGGGTGGTTGTCCAAATTAGGGTCCCTTTTTGGGTCCCCTAAATATTAGGTGCCGTATTATCATAAGGACCCAAAAAGGGACCATAATTTTGACAACCACCCACATACACCCAATTCTCCCACCCCAAACTCACGAAGAAGGCGGTACAAGGTAGCGTGAGGGCCCTCGGATTAAAGGATGAATCGAGGTTGACGTGTTTACAGAGGATTCAGAGTTCAGCTCTGTACACTGAGGGTTAGGCTTGTAGGGCTCGATTGGTTTGGAGGGGTATAAGGCTTACGTGGATTCAGATTGAAAGATGGCTGTTAAAGATGCATACAAGCCGCAATTTTGCACATGAAAAGCAAGCACTCGTCCATGAACGTAGTGCGTTTTGACACGGACCTATAAGATCCTAAGGCGACTTTGTGATAAAACCAGCCTCTACTTGAGCCCTCAACTCTGAGCGCCCTAGTTGCTGTTTGGGCTCTTCCAAAAAGGTTCCTTCTTTGGGGGATATATATATATATATATACATATATATATATATATATATATTGTTTATATCTATGTGGGTCCTACAAGTGGGTCCTACAATAATGATAGGGGCTGTTCATTGCGAATACAACCAGCAAAACCGTCACGAAGCTGCCATAAGTAATGTCCCGAAGGCCGATATAGAGGTCTAGGGTTTAGGGGAAGCAGCGCCCCCTCTCCCTCTCTCTGTCTGTCTGCCTCTACGTGTACCATGACAAAGCCGATCCTCGACGGAGGACAACGAGTCTAGATCTAGGATCTAGAGTTTGGCATTTAGGCTTCAACCCACACGTACTTTGTAAACCCCTCAGATCCTAGAAGTCTGACACGATCTTATCCCAAAGCCTAAACCCTAAACCCTAAAAATCTGACGAAAGCCCAGTCCCTGCACCAAAAGCCTCCACACGGACGCCGAGCCGAAACCTCTGGACCCTCATGGCCCTCATCCCCGTGACGGGATAGTCCACAGCCGCAAACAGACTAATGTAGGAGACTCATTCAATTGGAATAGGGTTTTGGGGTATAGCTTCACTAGGAACCCCCCCCCAAAAAAAAAAAGGATTGGTAATTATTCGGACCCCTACACCTTCAGTTCGAAATCCTATAGCCCATCCATCCTTCAGCCCTCAGAGGCATCGGAGCTCCTTGCAGAGGAGGTCAGCTTGGTCGTGTCGCAGTTTGGATTCCTGGTGTCATAACTTCGATGGGCTCCGCGGAGGGGCGGGGGGGTCTCTAGAGTCGAACCCTATACCCTAAACCCTATAGGGTTTAGGGTCTAGAGTGAGGTGTAAGGGGCTATTGCAGGTTTTGAAGAGTTCAGTGCCTCTGAGTTGGGCGGCTTTCGGCTTGTGGAACTATGGCTTTCGGAACCCAAAGTTTCAGAGATTCCGTGAGATTGCAAGGGCCCCGTGAGGATTTATAGGGTTTAGTTTAGTGTCTCAGCTGGCAGGGTGACGCGCTTTAGGGTGCGCGGAGTCGAACGCAAGGACTTCTATCGTTTCCTGTGACATCTCGGCGGCTTCTGTGCTTACCTTAAGGCTCCTAAGAGGGTCTTGGGCTTTGAGCATGGTCTAGACTGTACAAACGTGGGATCTGCTGGGTTCACAACTTCAGCTCGGAAACTTCACTGATGGGTGCTTCCAACTGAAGTTTTCATCCCAACCCTAAACCCTAAGCCCCTAGACCCTAAACCCCAAGTACCGTTTGCGATGGGGTCTGATGCTTTGGAGCTCGCTTTGCTGTGCTCTTTTCGGTCTCTGGTGCCGCAACCTGTTGGACCGTTTTCCGAGAAGCTCCAAAACCTACATAGAAGCCACAAGCACCCAGAGATGCATAAATCCTAAGCCTCACCTGCAAGGTTACTATACTTCAGCAGCATAAGGGGTTGATCCATAGGCCCATAACACCATATCTCACTGCGGGAAAATCGGCTTCCTGGACTTCATTCACCTAACTTTGAATCCTATCCTCACCCAAAGCCCTAAAACCTACCCCAAATCCCAATCCCCAAACACCCAGCCCCTCGCCACAAAATCCCCTCAACCCAAACCCTCATTAAATTCCAAACACAATTTTTTTGAGGGTCCATATACCTATATATATATATATATATAGCATAAACCCTAAACCCTGAACTTATACATTTCGATCCACAAGAGGCCCTTGATGGCAGAAGTTTTTCTGCTGTATATGCACACGGACCCTAAGATACGCAAACTAAAGTAAACCCTGCAATAAATAAAACGGGATAACACATCGGACAGCCCTATAACACCTTTATGCAAGCTTGGCCTTGGGGTAATGTAGGGGCCAAAATAATTAGAATAGCATAATATGGGCGTTCCTTATTGTAGTTAAAATAGAATTTGCCCCAAAACCCTATTCTAGTTACTAAGTTACCACGGCCTCTAGATTATGATTACCCCTGGGGCCCATTATACTGTAGTTATAATAAGGAACCACCCTAAAATAGTATAGGTAATTATTAAGGCCCCCAGATCATATCCCCTAACCCAAAGGCTCATGTACCTTTATTTATAGTAGATACTTAGGCCTTAACCGGGTGCCTATATAGGTACTTTAAGGCCTAAGTATCTACTATAAAGGTACATGGAGCCTTAGGGTAAGCCTCCCTGAAAGTTCCGAGTGTCTCTTGCCAGTCGGACCAGGCCGTTGCGGTGGCTGAGGCTGTGAGAATATATTGCAGGCGCCAGTTGCTGAAAACGCCTTGTCGGGTTTAGGGTTTAGGGTTAGGGTTTAGGGTTTAGGGTTTAGGGTTTAGGGCTTAGGGGGCGCCAGTTGCTGAAAACGCCTCGTCGGGCTAAGGGCGTGGGGTTCATGGGTAGCTGTAGGTAGGGTTATAAATCCCCCAATATGGGTTATAACTATAGTTACCCTACTTATAACCCCGCGTTGAGGGTTTGGGATGTTGGGTTTCAGGTTTCAGGCTTAGGGTTCATAAGCGCGAAACTGGCCAAGGCTTCCTTCGAAAGGGTTCCTTCCACAGTTCCAAGAGGATCTACTTGGAGGTCCATGGGTAGTTGTAAGTGGGGTTATACGTAGGGTAACTATACTTATAACCCATATTAGGGGACTTATAACCCTACTTATAACTACCCATGAACCTCCAAGTAGAAGGGGTATTGGTCTAACAAACTAGGCTTGAATTACGGGCTGAGTGTTTGTAGTTCTCTGTTGCTTGGCTGTCTTGTTCTCTTTTGCTTTGTTATGACCCTTGTCAGGTTCATACGGCTTACAGTGAGGACTTTGGGCTTAGGGTGAGCAGAGCTTCTAAGGACTTATGAACACGCGTGGGTGGGTGCTCGGGGCCGCGTGTATATGAAATTTGGGCATTTGGGGTTGCTTTTGGGTGTTTCGCCTGCGATTCGCAAGACTTCAAGATGGCTACCCTAAACCCTAAACCCTAAACCCTAAAGCCTAAACCCCAAACCTTTGGGCAAGTTTCGAGCACATCTGGGAGCTTCGGGAAATGAGCCCCAAGAGAGACCCTACATAATTAGTGATTAGGCTCCTTATTTCAAGGACCGGTAAGTGGGGGGGGGGGACCTCAAGAATTCAGGAATTCTCCCCTTTGGGGGTAGGCTTTAGAACGTTAGGGTTTAGGATGGTTCAGGCAGAAGTTCGCCCACGCCCTCACACGACAAAGGATCTTTATGATGGTGCTGGCACATGTCTCCTCCAGGTGTCGGGGAAGACATCCGTACGGTTACCTGTCCCACAAACCAGTATGGGGTTTATAGGGTCTTGAGCTGGGGTTTGGAGGTACCCCAAACATAAACAGCTGCTTCTTGTTGTGCCCACGCAACAGTCAGAGGGGTTCCCCACAGCCCAGTTCACCACCACCGCGTCGACGTCGCGGGACTGTCAAGGCTTGGGGTGTGGGCGAAAGGGAATCTGAGGCGTGAGGACAGGCGGTGCTGAACGTCTCACATGCAGTTCATAAAGGTATTCTGGAAAACCCTAAACCCTGAACCCTTAACCCTAAACCTTAAACCCTAAACCCGAAGCCCTAAACCCTAAACCCAAAACCTTAAACCCCAAACCCGAAACCTTAAACCCAAAACCCGAAACCTTAAACCCAAAACCTGAAACCCGAAGCCTTAAACCCTAAACCTCAAACCCTAAACCCAAAACCTTAAGCCCAAAACCTGAAACCCGAAACCTTAAACCCTAAACCTTAAACCCTAAACCTTAAACCCAAAACCCAAGACCTTAAGCCCTTAACTCTGAAGTCTCTGAGGCCTCCTCGCCAGCGGAGCCGGTCGAACTTGCGGCCTGCAGCCGCTTCTCTCCCACTGTGGGCTCTAAGAAGGGTTTCCTTTAAAGGGTTTATGTAGGGGTTTAGGGTTTAGGGTTTCCTTTAAAGGGTTTAGGGTTGAGGGTTTAGAGGTTTAGGGGTTCAGGGTTTAGGGTTTAGGGTTTCCTTTAAATGGTTTAGGGTTGAGGGTTTAGGGGTTTAGCGTTTAGGGTTCCTATAAGTGAACCATTATAAGGGTTCTATAATGAAGGGGCGGAACCCTAATCAATCCCAGATGCTGAAGGGTCATGAAGGAACCCTGTCAGGACTTTCGAAGGAAGCCTAAACCCTCAGCCCGTACAGTTACCCCTTAAGGAGTCCTTCAAGGGGGTGTTGTCAATGTAGGGGCTCGTTAAACCAATTTTAGTTTAAGGATTCCCGTAAACCCTAAACCCCTAAACTGTAAGGGTTTAGGGTGTAGGGTTTAGGTATAGGGTTTAGGGTTTAGGGTTTAGGGTTTAGGAATTTTTGGGCTTCGGGTTTAGGGAGCCGAATCCTTTGAAGGAGTGCTAAGAACTGACGTGAGCCCCTAAACCCTAAACCCTAAACCCTAAACCCGTGAGCCTTGTTGTTGAGGCCGTGTCCTCCGGCTTGCGACGGGCGCTGCCTCCAGATCCGAGGACCAGGGTTCAAAAGTGTTCTTTTGGGTCTAGGGTTTAAGGGTTTAGGGTTTAGGGTTTAGGGTTTAGGGTTTAGGGTAGCTGCGGTTTGGTTAAGGGATGTTGAGAAGCTTTTGTACTGCTCTCTAGGGCTCCAGCTACCTAAGACCTACCTATACTAACCATATATATATATATATATGTATATATATATATATATTATGTATCTCAGTAACCCAGTCTTGCCGTAGTGCGTAAAGCCCTAAGCCCTACACCCCTAAAGCCCTAAACCCTAATATGGGTAACTGGAGCTCTGGGGGGTGGTTGTTATTGCTATCATTCTTTTTGTGCCGGCTTGGGGTTAAGCGGCAGGTTCAGAAATTCAGCGGCGTTCTAGCTTTGCGGTCTTCACTGGCTGAAGGGTTGAGCGGAAAATCCCGCGAGGTATTCTCAAATCACACCACAGACCCTAAAACCTGCAACCATATAGCTCTACTTCATAGATCTGGTAGCGTTCCGTGTAGTGTAGCTGGACTGGCTTACCCTGTGGGGTGCATGGCTACAAAGTACTTGGGCACGCAGGGTATCGAATATTTCAAGATGTCAAAAGCCTTGCCCCAGGCTCGGTGCTCTTCATGGCCATTACCCTCAGGGTGCAAAGGACCCAATAATAAGGGACTTTGGTTGCAGATAGTAGTTTTCTAGGATCTGGGAGAGTATATGATGATTACGTACTTGGACCCTTAGGGTTATAGAGCAATGAACGCGATGCGTGTCATGTGTTCGCCGCCCCCTCCCCCGCTCGCCGTAACTGCTCTGTTTCTCTCTAGAGCATTGCAGATTGTTCTTTCAATGTTCTTCTCCTTTTGCCTTCGTGTTTTCACTCTCTCCCTGTCTCCTTCTAGTGCCTTCTTCTGTCAGCGTTTCCAGGTCTTTTTTCATTCGGGTCTGAAGCATGTCTCCTCTGTATATGCCATATGGCCATCTTTTTTTTTTTTCTCTCTCTCTCTTTCTCTCTTTTCCTTCCGACGCTCTTTGTATCATTTTTCTCGAGCGAGCGAAATGCGCAACCCTGTCAACCTTTGTCAACACTCGGATACCTTAGTTCCTGCCGGTGCCTTTCTCGCTTGGCAGGTTCATCCGTGCCATCTTAGCTTCAGAGCAGCTGCTGCAGCAACAGGCTTGCATCGGTTTAGGGTTTTCGGTTTAAAGTTTCGGGTTTAGGATTTAGGGTTTAGGGTTTAGGGGTTGGATCAGTTCTGTGTTCTCAGGGTCAGAAGTTTACGGCCATTTGCTTGGTTGTTTGGGTCCTCATATCGTGCGACGCAACATGGAGATGGACTTGCACCTAGGCTTCAAGGGCAGTACAGCGCTGGCATCAAGCTGATGCACACAGCCTGAGTTCCGTCACCAACGATGCTCATGATCATGTTGTCAAGTGATGTCAAGTGCAGACGGTCCGACTAATGACCTTCAACCTGAAACAGCAAGCCGTGAGACTCGACCGAGAGTAGACTTCGCAATGGATCCCGTCGCACAGACTCAGTCCCGCAACCGTCTTAACCTCATGCCCTAACAACTCCTCTAAAATCCCGACACCCTAAACCCTAAACCCTATCCTACAGCCTAAACTCTTCTGGCAGCTCTCCCTAAACCCTAAATCCTAAACCCCTAAATACCCTCTACAGGCTGGCGCTGTTTTCGTACAATGCGATCGAGATCTGACGCTTGCTGCAGAAGTCTTGGAAGTTTAGGGTTTAGGGTTTAGGGTCCCAGCACCCCATTCCCCTCCATTAAAATATCCCAGGCTCTGAAACCTAAACCTGTAATCACTGAGCTTGGAACTACTGAGTTTGGATATATTCTAGGCTCCGCCTCTTCAGTATGCTGGGGTTTCGAAGCTTTTCCTCAGAGTTTGTGGTTTAGGTGTTGGAGTTTCAAAATTTATGACTGTTTCAGATTCGTAAGAAGCGTATTTTCAGAAGTCCCTACGGGTTTAGGATTTAGGGTTCAGGGTTTAGGGTTTAGGGTTTAGGGTGACTGTTTCAGATTCGTAAGAAGCGTATGTTCAGAAGTCCCTATGCCTCGAACAACTCTGATGAGCCAGGTCCTCAGACTCAAAATCCTATGTTGGGTAGTTCTCTAACTTAGGGTCCCTTGTAGGGTTCTTTTTACAGGGGTGCCGTACTATACTGGGGACCGAAAAAGGGACCCCCAATTTAGGGAACTACCCATATGGAACCTTCTGCCTGTACCCATATTATCCAAGGTACCTTAAACAAAGGTAGATGTGCCATGGTTTCAGGGCTCTCTCTCTCTCTCTCTATATATATATATATCCCTTTTTCAATGATACATTGGCAACTCTAGCTATGAGCAATCTGTATTGTGCGTTTTTAACAGAGCATAGCGAGTCATGATTTATGCCACTGGGCCTCCATGGCGTTCCTTGCAGTATGATGCGTTACCCTAGCGGCCTAGCGATCCAGTTACCTAAATAGCTGGCTACCGGGTTACATGTTGCCTATAGTCTCCATTGTAGTTCCTTTTTGGGGGATACCTTGTAGGAGCCTAGGTATAAAATTGGCTAAACCGAAACAGGAACTACAATGAATGGAGACTATAGGTACATTGTTAGTAACTTACTGTTTAGGCACCCGGAGCCTTAGGGTGTAGGATTTAGGGCTTTGTCCAGTTCAACACTGAAACCCTAAACCCTAAACCCTAAACCCTAAACCCTAAACCCTAAACCCTAAACCCTAAACCTTAATCTTTGTTTGTTTGAGCCGTGGTCAAGGTTCTGCGGTTTAGAGGCTCCTAGAGCTTTTGTGGCTTGTTGGTCGGATTGTGGGTTTTGGACTTGAGTTTAGGGGTTTAGGGGTTTAGAGTTTAGGGTTTAGGGTTTAGGGTTTAGGGTTTAGGGTTTAGGGCTTAGGGTTTAGGGTTTAGGGTTTAGGGTTTAGTATAATAATAGTTAGGGTTTAGAGTTTAGGGTTTAGGAGCACAGAACAACAACATCAATCCTAACGAAAGCCTAAATCTCTCAGCGACCATCAAGCGCGCCAAACCCGAAACCCTTGCAGCCATCCTCAGACACCGAACAGCGGAGTCAGAAACCCTAGACCCCTTCAAAGCCCTAGAAAAGCCCACGAGATCCCTTTAATTTAACCCCTAAACCCTAAACCCTAAAACCTCTTCTTAGGAGCCCAATAAGTAAACTTTAAGCCTTTCAGCTTTTTTGATATATTAAGCCGTAAGCCCCTACTAAAAGAGAAGTTTAAACTTTTTTGGGCCAGGGTACTGGGCAGCTAAGTCTTGTGAATCCTAGGAATGGTCAAATTGATCGGGACGAGCTTTTCGGTCTCTGCGCAGCACTGCACGAAGCACTGGGTCTTTCGATGCAGGACATGGGTAGTTGTCAAAATTAGGGTCCCATTTGGGGTACCCTAAATAATAGGTGCCGTACTATAATAAAGACCCAAAAAGGGACCATAATTTTGACAACCACCCCTAAACCCTAAACCCTAAACCCTTATAGAAGACCGAAGCCTCATGTTGTTTAGGGGTTTTGGGCTTAGGGACTGGAGCTTTCTGCGGTGAGAATATGCCCTTATAGGAATCCGTATAGCTCCCTTCAACGGAACCTGTATAGATGCCTTTAAAGGGACCCTGAAATCCCTTAGCCCTGTGAAGTGATACTCTGAAATCCTTGAGCCCCCCAAGTCACGGAATTTGTTTGGTGCTGCGCATTTGGATTCGTAGCTGAAGCATTACGGGTTTGCAGAGCTCTGGGTTTGGGTTTGTGCACTTTGGGGAAAGAGGCATTGAGCGCTGCCTGGCCGGGCAGCTAGACTTCCGCGCCACCATCTCCAATGTTCGTCCCTTTTTGCCGTTTACTTTAACCAAGGTTGGATCCTTATTCAGGTTACTGCACCGCACGCATAACAAATTCTCGGCTGGCCAATTTCGCGTATGGCTAGGATGCTACAATGCAAAACGAGGTAGCACTGCGAGGGCAGCTAGGTTCCCCAGTAGTACCCTGTTGCCGTTGTTCTTGCATGTTCTTGTTGGGTCTCCTGGTTGAAACGCAACAGTAAGACAAAGGGTAGAGTTCAGGTTTCAATCTTCACGGATGTCCTTCCTTGGGTCTTGTGAGGGTATTATCAGGAGTTTGGGCTTATAGGGTTTAGGGTTCAATCCCTCATTATTACTGTTACTAAGGGGCTACGGGGGAACATGGACAGAAGGACATTCAGACCTGGCTGTTCTCACAGGACGATGTTTCCTTGGGCCGACGCTTGGCGATACTTGGCTGCAAGGACCACGGGTTAACGTATGTTTAAGCAAGTGTCTACATATCATGATACATAATACGAAGGGACGCAATAAGGTCTACATACTCGGCATTTGTGAATGTAAACCCTGACCAGTAAGCCCCTTCCTTCAGCAAGAGTTCTGGATATCATTCATATTAAAGCTTCCAGCGGAAGGGTGCTGATTAATCAGTGTTTTTCGTCGGAGACATTGTTCGAGCTTGTGTTTTTCCCATCTGCATACATGCCTACAAGATAGAGAAGCCTGAATCAATCGAACTCTGTATAATTGAATCCGTAAACCCTAAACCCCTAAACCGCGATTGAAGATAAAAAAAGGCACACCGCAACCCGGTTGTAAACTTACCCTAACCTACCAAAACCCACTTTCTTGTAGGGTCCCTATAAATCCCCTATTAGGGTTTATAATAAGATCCTACAAAAAAGTAGGTTTTGGTAGGTTAAGGTACTACTCCAAACTAGAATCGAAGGCAGTAACAAACGCAACCCTAAACCCTAAATCCAACACTACGGAACAGTACTACTACCACCCCCCACCCCCTCGTCTGAAGTTTCCCCAACACGGTGCTCTTGACCCGACGATGAGTTTGTTCCATAGACTTTGGAATGTTTCGGAATTTGGGGGTTTATGAGTTTTTGACCTATTTGTAGCGAGCTTGAATTTTCTACGCCTTCCGGGCCTGTAGGAGAACGCCATCCTCGGCCGCGAGAAGTTCAGCGGTTTGGAGATTTTTGTCTCCAACAAACTCAGCATGCAGGCAGTTCGACGACGATTCCAGCGGCGGGCTGGATCGTCGGCAGCCTCTCGGCACGATCATCTTGCTAAAACTCTGACCCTAAAGCCCTAATCCAAAACCCAACCAATTCTTCCCGAAACCCATTACAGCCGACCTTTTCATGGTTACTCGTTATGAATTGTGTAATAGAAGTCCTGAAAATGGTTAAACCCTGATAGTAGCCCTTATAGAACCCCTTAAGGAACCCTTTGAAGGACCTTAAACAGCACGTTTTGGAAGGGTGTTTTAAACACTATTTCCGGGAGCCCCCGTTCCTACAATATTGAGACCACATACTCGTCTGTAATGCAAGTCGGCTCATCAAAGCACAGCAACCAGTAGGTCTAGGTGGCCAAGAGCAGAATGGGTACCGCCCTAAACCCTAAACCCTAAACCCTAAACCGTAAACCGACCGGGCTTGTTTGTGTTTTTCCACCTTCAGACCGGGCTCTGGGGTCAAAAGCATCCAGACATGGCCACAATACCCAAACCGCCCAAAGCCCTCAAGCCTATATAAATCGTAAACCAATACGTAAGAACGCCAAAAGCACATAAGCATAAGCATTTTATAGGGATATCCCTACCTCATTGGGCTTCATTATAAGGGGGTTTATATGGGATATCCCTATCCTAACTTTTGCTGATGTGCTCTTTGGGGGCCCTAAATAATCATGTGCGAGTGATGGCTCGCATCTCTCCCAACCTCTACAGCCCAAAGGAAGGGTGCGTTTTCGAAACAGACCTTCATCGTATTCGAGGGTTTTGTTTAAAGGTTTGCTACAAGGTTCCTTCCAGGGGATGATGAAAAATGACTGAAGGTCCTTTTGAAGCTTGTTGAAGTGAAACCTGAGGTATTGTGTTCAACGTGTCAGCCGGCTTCCCCATTGAGAGTTCGGCCTTCAAGAGAATGATCCTTCAACTTCAAGATCCGTGAGACTGGACAAAGTAATATAGGGGCCCAAAGAGTTACCAATACTATTTTGAGGGTTCCTTGTTATAGTTATAGCTAGAAAATCAGACCTGGAGGCTTGCTCCAAAAAACGCTTAAATCGGGCAAAAAGCTCCAAATTGAAACGATTAAGACCTCTACATTACCCTAACCCCCCAGGTACCTACTATATAGGGCCCCAGGGGCTCTGGTACCCTATATAGTAGGTACCTTGGGGGTTAGGGTTAGGCATGGCAAATCTCGCACTATTTTCAGCAGCATTGCGCTGTCAGGTTTGTTCGTCTCTACAAGGAGCTGTTGCAGGCGGGCGCCTGCATAGCACTAGGGACCCCTGCACAGCTCTGATCCCCGGGTTCCCGGAGTGTTTGTGCTCAGACTTCGTGCACAGGACACGTCGGCGGGATGTCCTACCCTATATCTTCATTATAATATAGGGGTATAAATAATTACCAATATATGTAGTGTATATAATATACGCCCGAACCCTGTTCTAATTATGAAGGCCCTTACCTTACCTCCCGAAATCCTCAGCCCGAAACAACTCCCTAAGCTTCAAATCCCGAACCTTGACCCCCTGAACCTTACATCTTAGACCGAAGCCGACGGTGTCATGTAGGAGTCCCCAATAACGTGTCACTGGATTTAACTCAGTGACTTCTATAACGTGCCTTGTTACTGGGCACGGCCGATTTTGTTTTGTATCCTCTTTCATTTCTGCGAATGGTCATTTGTAACTGGGAAGAGAATAGCCAAAGGTCGAATCAAGCAAAATTTTCAAGCTGAATGGTTTTTAGTTTTGGTAGTGACCTCAAGTACAAAAGTCGGCAAAGTCAGTGCATGCCGAAGTTGGAGAAATTTCGTTTCTTGCCCTTCCTGGCGCATCCCAACACCATTCAGGGCGACGGGAAATGTTTGGGGTGGGGGGGGAAGCTCAAGCCAGTGCAACCAATGCCCGACGATGGGATTTGCCCTCTCAACCCTTGACGACAAAAGTACCGAGTCTTGACCTCTTTGCCTTTTGTTTAGACTTTACATGGAGTGAAACCCGACCATTGGAAGACTCCGGCGTGCTTACAAGTATAGAGATGCAATTACCCTATTTAGGGGTTTTCTGCAGTTGCTTTGTAATATGATTAAGCCTATTCTCAAGCAGCCATGAACCTTAAACTTATCCCCAAACTCGAAATCCAAAAGCCTCAACCCCAAAATCTTGGAACACCTTGCCGGAGCCGGAAACTTTTGCGGCCCAAGCCCTTTAAACCTTCGTTTTGACGTTAAACCCTGTTTGTATGTGCAGCTGAACTGCGGCCATTTACTAAGTTTCAGGGCTTATGGTTTGGTTTACGGTTGGGGTGCTATACGGTAGAAGCCTAAAAGTTGGAAACCCAACAGCCTCAATCCTTAAGAGTAATGCATAGAAGCTTCCTAGTTGAGGTTATCCTAATGATACCCAGCTGCTAAGCTGCGACAGAGCTGGAACGTGTTTGCCATTGCCAGCTTAGTTCTCCAACGGCCGACCTTTAAGCTTTTGGGGTTCTTATAGTAATCTGAAAGCTTATCCTTGTATTTCCCTGGCTTATTGGGGAAGTAAGCCAGGAACATAGTTGTCTTGGCCAAACCCTAAACCCTAAACCCCTAACCCTAAACCCTAAACCCATGGTTCTTGACTGCTTCGGGCTTTAGGTTGGGTTTAGAATTATGCGGCCCTGGGTTTGGAACTACAGCGTTCAGGGTTTACGGTTTCGAAGTATGGAGTTTAAGTTTTAGGCATCGAGTTGTCGAGTTCAGTGCGTACGGTGCTGTTCTTGCACGCAGGCCGTCTTTGTTGCTACTAGTGCTTCTGGTAAACGCCCCAAACCCCAAACCCCAATGGCACCAACATAGGGTCCGAGGAATTCGCAGTAATGTTCCGTCATAGTATAGAATGGTATGTCACATGTCCCGAAGCCCTATTCGATTGATTCAGGCCCCTATACTAAACCCGAAATGTAAACCTCTAAGGAACCCTTATAGCAGCCCTTAGAAAACCCTAAACCCTAAACCCTAAACCGATTACAGGAACTCTATTCTACTGAGTAAGGCCCGTTTTTGTTTTTACGTCCAGCAACAGGATGCCCTCCGCCGTGAGATGCCATCACCGCCCTCGCGGCGATTCGCCCGTGGTGATGAGGTGCCCTCGGTTTAGGGTTTAGGTCAGAATGGTCATGATTCCGTCTAGTCCCTAGACAGTTATAGTATAAGATGGCCCCCCAAACCCTACACAACTGTTGAGGTTATTGCTCACTTGTTTTCGAAGGATCGAGGTCTTCAGGCTTTCAATTTCAGGGGTCTGCCCTGGAACTCCAAATAGGTGGAAGTAGATGAGAGCAGCTCTCTCATTTAGGGCCCCTTTTGGCCCCTGCATAAACCCTAAACCCCTAAATCCCCAAACCCTAAACCCTAAACCGCTGCCGTACTATATTGGGGGACCTAAAAGAGGGACCCTAGTTTAGATAACGACCCAGGTATTGGTTCTGCGATTCGAGCCTTGGGGTTTAGGGCTTCGGGTTCAGGGTTTGGGCTTGGGGGTTCCGTTAGGGTTTTAGTGATTTCAGGAAGTTTAGGGTTTAAGATGATTTTAGGAGGTTGCGTGTTTGGGGTTTAAGGTGATTTTAGGAGTTGTCTAGGTGGTAGGTCTGCGTTTAGGGTGTTGGGTCTTAGGTTGACGTCTAAACACTGAAGCCATACATGCTACCTATAATTATTCGGCAATGTAGTTCCTTGCTTTGTTTAACCTATTTGTTTTTAGGATCCTATAGAGTAACCGGATAACACAGAAAAGGAACTACAATGGAGATTTTGGGTAATCCCGATAATTGCTCCCGAGCCTTATGGCGTGTTTTGGGGTTGGAAGGCTTCAGGCCATTTTAGGCTCAGATGCAATGTCGAGACTACGGGTTCACCCAGGTTTGAGGAGTGTTTTTGGGAGGTGGATTAGGGCTTAGAAAAGGCTTCGGCGGTGTTAGTTTTTGTTTGCTTATCATCGTTGTTGTTGGCTTCTGGTTTAGGTCTTGCTGCATTTGAGTTTTACGGCTTCGGGTCCATATGGATTTCGGACTCCATGCGTTTGCAAATTTGTCAATGCCCGAAACAATCCTAAATCCTGAACCCTGAATCCTAAACTTGAAAACGACCCCAAGACGCTGCAAATCGGGCCTCCTCGGTAGCTCAATATAGGGGCCTTATTCATTGCCCAGATTTATTTTGGGGGTTCCTCATTATGATTATACTATAACGAAACCCAAAACCCCATTTTTATTATTGAGGCCCCTACATTACGCGCAGCAAAGACCTTGCAACTTGCACCTTGGGTTTCATGTCGCGGCAAGCATTGATCAAACAATTAGAATAGGATTATGGGCTCCTTTATAGTATAAGCATAATTAATAAGGAACCCCCAAAATAATCTAAGCAATGAGTAAGGCCCCTATACCGAGGAGTCCCCATTTGCAGTGTCTTGGGGTCCGGTTTTCAACCAGCGCAGGGTTTGGAGCACAACTCAACAGTACACCTCGCGTCAGATCGGCTCCCCTGTGGTTTAGGGTTTAGGGTTTAGGGTTTGTTGCTGTTTTCTTCTTGATTGTATCGAGCGAACGGTTCGGGTCTTGCATACGAGCATTTTTTCTGATTTTTCATGATGTAGTTGATGGCCAGCCATGAAAATTTGTTCTTGATCCTTGGACCCTGGCGTTTGATAGTCATGATATCGATACGGGAATTGGGCAGGCCTAGTTCGAAAAGTATTACTGAGGTCGCTATTCTTCTCCCGAGCCCTCACTCGATAACACCATCGTCTCCGGTAGGTTAAGGTTAGCCAGCGAAATCGTTTCTGATTCAGGGCTATGCTGCTTCCGAGCCACACTGCGGGATCTACCTATAGTCTCCGTTGTAGTTCCTTTTTGGGGTTTAACCATTTTTGTTTATGTTTAGGAGACTAGAAGGTAGGAGGAAGGACAAAGAGCAAGCAGATGCTTCAAAACCCTGTGAAGGTGCTGGCGCCGTATCTAGGCGCAGATCCGTGTTCATTGCCCTAAAGCCCGAACCCTAATCCTAACTCTGCGGGTTTTCTGGCATTTGAGCTTTGGGCTTGGGGCACGTGTCGGCATCAGATAGAGGATGACATGAGCAGCACGCAGAGTTGTGGGTTTGTTGGCTTAGGGTGTCGGGCTTAGATAGTTTAGGGCATTTATCTCGGGCGCAGTGACCAGTCATGTGGAGGGATAGCCTTCTATCTGGTCTTTCTGTTGTATCGGATCTACTTGTATTTCTGCAGGGATCAAAAAATCGAAACCTGAACCCGCCACCCTAGACACCTATAGTATAGGAACCTGATTGAGAAACTCTGGTTCTTTACCAGGGCTCTTTGTATGAATCCTCATACTTTGGACTTTGGGTTTCTGAATCAGGTTCCCACATTGTCCGGCTTGCTATCTGCATTATCTTGTCTTGCAGGAATTGTGCTTTATCTCCCATGCGTCCGAACCACGCAGTTCCACAACTGATTGCACCCGCTTCCCTCCCCCGATGCAGAAACTCATGCAAAGATTTATTCAGGTGTTCATTCAGAGTTTCATTCGGAGATTCATTCGGAGTTTCATCCAGATATGAATTAAAATGTTCATTCGTTCAATCATTCATCATCCATCCCATCCATTCATCCATTCATCCATTTCTTCCTTCGTTCCTTCCCTGCTTCCTGCGTTCGTTCTTTCGTTAGTTCATTTATTCACTCATTCATTCGTTCGTTCATTAGGTTGTGCATCCATTCCTTCCGTAATTACTTTCTTCCTTGGTTTGTTCGTTTATTTATTCGATCGTTCATTCATTCACTCACTCACTCACTCGCCCAGCCTGCCTACATGCTGTGGCGCACAACGGTTTCAATCCTACATGCCTAGTGGCTTCGGTGCTGGGTACTTGGGGTCTCTTTCGCCAGGCGAAGCCTCCGGTCGGAAGTACCATGCGCTGGTAACGAGCGTCGTGGAGGCTGTGATCGATTCCTCCGTGCAGTTTGGGTATAGGGTCTAGCTTAGTATAGGGCCCCGAACAAATTACCTATACTATTTTGGGGTTCCTTATCATGACAAAATACATATATATATATATACACACACACCCCAAAACCTAGCTGATAAGGCCCTCACATTATAGGTTTTGTCTCTTATCCAAGAATGCGGATTCCTACTCTAAAGCCTGATCCCTGAACGCTGAAAGTCCTGAACCTCTGTTTTTGGCCCTAAACCCTAAACCCTAAACTGCTTATAAAACGGATCCTGCTCTTAAGGTTCGATCTTCGCGCTGCTATAGTTTTCTGAAGCTGGGGAGTTATTATGGAATTGGGAGTGTGGGCTTCTGCGTTCGGAGATTTGGCTTTTACGGCTCGGGTGCTGGGATGTAGGGGTTTAGGGTTTAGGGAAGGGTTTGGGGTTTAGGGTTAGGGATTTTGGGTTTAGGGATTTAGGAGGCCCGAAACTTTCCAAAACCTCAAAACCTCAAATCACAAACCCTGGAACCCTGAACCTCTAGACTCCCTAACGTAGGGCCTAAGCAATTGGAACGGGGTTTGGGGTAATAATTATAACAAGGACCCTAAAACCTCCTATTCTAACTATTTAAGGCCCCTACATTAAAGCCTACGCCCTGGTGAATGCTCAGAAAACCCCTGTAAAACCCCCAAGAGCAACCCTGTAATGTCATGAACCCTAAGCCCTAAACCCTATAAACCCTAAGGCCCCTATTGAACGTTAAAGCAGGAGCTTTGAGGCTAGAGCTTCAGGGTGTTAGGGCTCCAGAGGTTTTTTGTAGGGGCCTTGATAGTTATAATAGGGTTTTGGGGTATCTATACTATAACAATGATAAGGAACCCTCAAGACTATAAGAAGGAACCCTCAAAACTATAAGAAGGAACCCTCGAAACTATAAGAAGGAACCCTCAAAACTATAATAAGGAACCCTCAAAACTAAAAGAAGGAACCCTCAAAACTGTACGAAGGAACCCTCAAAACTATAAGAAGGAACCCTCGAAACTATAATCCCTCGAAACTATAAGAAGGAACCCTCAAAACGGTATTGGTAATTATTTTGGCCCCTATATTCGGATGCTCTGGCTTTCGTCTAGGACATTTGCAGGTGGGTAGTTGCCGCTATAGGAGCCTTATAGAAGGTCTATAAATCTTAAAACCCTAAACCCTAAACCCTATAGAAGCCTTATAGACGTCCTATATACCCTAAACTCCCCACCTGTAGTTTCCTTAATTTTCAACCCTAACCCAAAGCCCTAGACCCTAAACCTTAAACCCTAAACCCTAAACCCTAAACCCTATGAGGGCCTTCGGGCTTGAGGCTCTTGGAGGTCGTCCGAAACCAGCAAACCTTGCCAGCAAAGCTTCCAAGCACGAGTTTTAGGGTTTAGGGTGTAGGCCTAAATGGCTACCAATACTATTCTACAGGTTCCTTTTGTTATGATTATAGGATAACGGGCTCGAAAAGCCTATTCTAATTATCAAGGCCATTACCAAATTGTTGGTGTTTAGGGTTTAGGGATGTTGAAAGACGCGCCATTACATCCACGCAGCTCCCTAGTAGAAATTGCCTCGTGCAAGCTTTTGGATTAAAGATGCGTCGAGCCCTAGACCGGAAACCCTCAAGCGATTGCGCACCCCTCCATGTACCGTAAAGCCTCTAAATATTCTAAAACCCATAAAACCGTAAACCCTAACCCTAAACCCTGAACCCTAAACCCTGCACCCAAAGCCCTAAACCCTAAACCCTAAACAAGCCCCAAGCCCCTGTTTTTCGCGTGCCAGGTCGGTGCTGAGGTTCTTGTGGGACTACGCTGGCTTCGGCCACCCGCGGGGCTTCACCCCGAGGACCTTTGGGTTTAGGGGTTTAGGGGT